TCCGCGAACGTACCAAGCGCCTCCTCATCTCACCTGGTGCGATCTTGCGTGTCCGATTCGAGGAGGGCCCACATCGAATGCGTGGTGCTATCGACCGCCATAGTTTTGGTAACGGACAGAGCGGGTAAAAAACATGAGTGTCGCGTTTTATTGGAGGTTGGTTCGCAAGCACATTTCGTCACAGAGCGATTCTGCAAGAAAATCGGCCTCCGACTCGCCGCCGCGAACATGATCGTGGGGGGGATAGGCGGAGCAAGGAATCCCATTAGATCGCAGGCGCGCTTACAAATCAGCTCGCGAAGTAGCAATTTTCGTTCGGAGGTGTCGTGCTTAGTGTTGAAGGAGATCACCGAGATGATGCCAAATGTTCCATTGAACAAGGTAGGCATCCCGATTCCTTTCGGCGTCATTCCGGCCGATCCGGAATTCGAACATCCCAATCGTATCGACCTATTGATTGGCGCCGGTCTGTTCTGGCGATTGCTATGCGTCGGACAGCATAGAGTAGGCCCAGGAAATCTCACCTGGCAAAAAACGCTGCTCGGGTGGGTCTTAGGTGGTAGTATATATTGGCCGGACCGAGAAGGGGGGGGCTTAAAAACGTGTCACGCGGTAACGAATGCACAATTGCACGAGTCAATCTCGCGTTTCTGGGAGGTAGAGGAGATCAGCCGTCGGGAACCCTCGAGCGTCGACGCGGCTAGCAATAAATGTGAGGAGCACTTTAGAACCACGACAGGTCGAGACGACGACGGGCGATACGTCGTCAGCATACCCTTCGACGAGAAAATCGTAGAATTGGGGGAATCGCGGGAACAAGCTGAGCGCCGGCTCATTTCATTGGAACGGAGATTCAGGAAAAACCCGGAACTCCATCAAGGGTATATAGATTTCATGCGTGAATACGAATCGCTCGGACATATGTCCAAGGTTGATGAAAATTCGTTAGAGAATCAACTTGGCTATTATTTGCCCCACCACGCGGTTTATAAGGAGTCCAGTACAACGACCAAACTTCGGGTAGTATTTGACGGATCTGCCAAGACATCCTCGGGGATCTCGTTAAATGACGCGCAGCTAGTAGGCATGCCCGTACAGAGTGATCTCGTCACTATTTTACTTAGATTTCGAAAACATCGGTATGTCCTGTCGGCGGACATAGAGAAAATGTACCGGCAAATTCGCGTGCGAGAGGACCATCGTAGATTTCAGCGGATACTATGGCGTTCAAATGCCAATGAACCCATTAGCGTTTACGATTTGAATACCATAACGTATGGCACCGCGTCGGCATCGTTTCTAGCAACGCGCGTGCTCAAGAAAATCGGGGAAGACTGCATGCAATCGCACCCGCTCGCTAGTCGTGCGATCATTCACGACTTCTATGTGGATGACCTGCTCACGGGATGCGATAGTTTAGAAGGGGCCGTGAAACTAAAGGCTTCATTAACCGAGGTCTTGGGCAATGCCGGAATGCCACTGCGAAAATGGGCTAGCAACCACATAGGGGCGCTCGGCAGCGATCGTAACGGAACACCGGCTAGCTTTGAAATCGCGGACACTGGAAGGGATCCGAAGACGTTAGGCATCTGTTGGACCGCTGAACCAGATGAACTACGGTACTCGCTCCGCGACAATAGGACGAACAAGATTACGAAGCGTACCATTCTGTCGGAAATCGCGCAAATATTCGACCCGCTCGGACTCATTAGCCCCATCGTGATCCGAGCAAAATTCATCATGAAGCGACTCTGGCGATTAGATGTGGGATGGGACGAAACCCTATCCCAGGAGATGCACACGCAATGGAACGACTTTCGTGCTGAACTGAAGGAGGTTCCATTGGTGGTCATCCCGCGGCGCGTGGTACCAAACAATCCGAGAGAAATAGAATTGCATGGCTTCTCGGACGCATCGGAACAAGCCTTTGGGGCCACGGTATACCTGCGGTCAAAAACGGTCGAGGGGGCGTGGTCGACGCGACTATTGTGTGCCAAGTCACGCGTAGCGCCGTTGAAATCGCTGTCACTGCCGCGATTAGAGCTGTCTGGTGCTCTTTTACTAGCGCGACTTGTTTCATACGTGAAGGAAGCGCTACAGATCGAGTTCGCGCGCGAATATTGTTGGACCGATTCAACGATCGTCTTGGCCTGGCTGAGGGCTGAACCGAGCCGATGGAAAACGTTCGTCGCGAATCGCGTTTCGGAGACACAGAGTCTCACCAAAATTGAGGCCTGGCATCACGTAAGATCTGCCGATAATCCTGCGGACATTGTATCGCGGGGGATCGCTGTTTCTGCCTTGAGAGACAGCGACCTTTGGTGGCACGGGCCGCAGTGGTTGTCGCAGAATTGCGACGATTGGCCAGCTTCAAGGCCAACAACCTCGGTGGAAATACCCGAAGAAAAACGGGCGGCCGCGACTCACGCAGGCCCGGCTAGCGCCGCGGCCTTGAGTGATTTCAACTTAGCCTCTCGTTACTCGTCCTACGAAAAATTGCTTCGGATAGTAGCTTACTGCTTTAGATTCGTGGATAACGCGCGGGCCAGGGGATCGCTACAGGGAAGTCGCGGTGATCCCTCCGATCACCATCCCCCATCCGCCGACGAGA